ACCCCCCCCCCCTACCAAACACACATCCACAAACACACACGCACACAAGTTTACTCACAAAGATAAATATTTTTTTATACTTACAAGATGCACGAACGGTGATATAGTGATAGAAAATCCCAAGATAAACTTATTGTACCTGATTCATCGCCGTAAGACCGCTGTGTAGACAACATTGTTGGTATATATGCGCCATCTGGAACTCCGTCCTGTTTGCATGTATTCTAATAAGAGTCCCTGAACCCTTCATATTATGTATAGGCACAGGTATACTAACTTTGTCATTTTGGCAGCAGAATGTGTTTCTCTATTCTCTCCATCTTATGGCATTGCAATGTTCACAGACAACACTGCATTCACCACAGTCATGAGTCCGTAACCTCCAATCAACTTCCGTTTAACTAAAGGACTTTGCATTGCACGCAAAAGCCAACGTCGGCCCTTTCTTTCTTGGTCAAGCACGCTCAAAGTCTTCTTCCAGATTCTGACTATTAGAACGTAAATTTTGATTGATAGTCACCTTTCTCCCCAGAAAATACGATCCAGATTTTAAAAGCGTCAATTCAACGAAGTGAACATTATGTGGGTTTAAACGAACTCAACGTGTTGAGGACATTACTACGCCAAATATATCTGGAAAAAGTCAATACAATGAAGTTTGACCTGAAGTACCCATTGACACTGCGAAGCACACATTCAAACAGAGTTAGATACATGTATCAAGAATCTAGATCTGGAAACAGTAGAAGCAGCTTCGTCAACACGAAGTAGAACTCTGTGGCACACACACGGCAAAGCACAAACCGAACTTCTGTTCTTGCTTACTACTCCAAATCAGTCTTGAATTCTGTGCTCCTACTACATCTAGGATATAGAGAGATCTAGTTCTAGAGTCTTGCTGTAAAAAAACTACGCTCCAAATACGCACCAAATTTTGAAAACGTCAATACAACAAAGTAAACATTTTGTGGGTTTAAACGAGCTCAACGTGTTGGGGACATCACTACTACAAATACAAAGAAGTTTGGCCTGAGGTATCCATTGACACTGTGATACACATATCCAAACACAGTTGGATAACGAGATTCTAGATCTGGATCTGGAAAAGTAGAAGCAGCTGTCTCACAAACACGAGGAAGCATCGAAGCACAAATCGAAACGGAAGTAGCCCCCAGTGAAACATTAAATGGCTAATGGAAGAGTGAAAACACATGAGAGCTTCGATATAGATCTACAGGAAAAACCATCAAACCTTAAAAATCAAAAGGTACTTTCGGAACTTTGAAAATATGCCCACGTAACCCTTTGTGACAATTCTTAACTGAATCATATTTTTGTAGATTTTATGGGCACCTATGTAAAAATTGTATAGAAGAATCTAATGACCTCACAAACGGGCTTAGTTCCATTATAATAAGATTATTATTATTATCATTATTATCATCACCAATACTGCAAGTCCTCACCATCCGAGCAATTCCTCAGGTACTCCAATCTGGCATCATCAAACTGCTGCACGAGATCTGCCTTGTTCATACCTGGACACTCACACAGCAGGTCCTCTATACACAGGGTGTTGACTTTGGTCAGTCTGAGGAAGAGAAATACATGATGATGATGATGATGATGATGATGATGATGATGATGATGATGATGAGGATGGTGCTAACTAAAAAAGTAACAGAATCAGGCGAAAAGTGACGGCGTGTGTGATAGTAGTTCAATAGCTCAACGTTTGGCCTCGTGATGATGAGGATGACGATGATGATGATGATGATGATGATGATGATGATGATGATGATGATGATGATGATGATGATGATGATGATGATGATGATTTTGTTGCCCCTGAGGAAGCCCGCGAGGCGAAACGTTGAGCTATTGAACTACTATCACACACGCCGTCACTTTTCGCCTGATTCTGTTACTTTTAGTTATCAGAAACATGTTATATTGTTCTGTTATTTTGTCTGAAATTCAAACAAGACTCTCCCTCCTACTCTGCTTATCATACAATGATGATGATGATGATGATGATGATGAAGATGATGCTGATGATGATGATGATGTGACCAGTCTTTTATATATTCCACTTATCTTTTTACTGGATGTTATTTTTTATGGACGCGTGTGTTTTTATTCACTTATGCTGTATGTTTTCTTGGACTGTAGAGGGTTTTTTTTTTTTTTTTTTAGATTCTTCTGATTTTATTTTTTGGTGTGCCTATCCCTTTCGTGTACTGTACACTTCCAATTTCCTCAATTCCTTACCACGTCTGGACGATGACAACCACTTCCCCAGCGTTGTTGTTGTTGTTGTTCTGTTTTGTTGTTGTTGTTGTTGTTGTTGTTCTGTTTTGTTGTTGTTGTTGTTGTTTTTTTTTGTGGGGGGGGGGGGGGGGGGTTGATAAGTGTTTTACGGCGCTCGCAACTGCATAAGGTTATATGAGCGCGCAGTACGCATTAAACTTTTTCAGTTGGTAGGAAATTTTGAATTTTGCCCGGGTGGCGACCCAAGCCTACTCTTATCGATTTTAGACCACCATGGGATCTTAAACGTGCGTAACTTGCAGATTTGCCAGATTTTTCGCCCTTGTCCAAGAGGGCTAGAGATAGTTCTTTCCTACAAGGAGATCAGGGGTGTAGCTGCAAGACAACAGTTAGAAGGAGCCAAGGAGTAGCCGTAGAAAAGCTGCAGAAAGAGTCAGAAGCCCAGAGGAGGGGCAAAGGAGGTGAGGGGGTGGTGGCAGAAAGTGGAGACGAAAGCAGACGACAGAATATTGCTAGAGAGCAGGAAAGGAGGTGAAAGGAGACACATTTAGAGAAGAAAATGCTTCGGTCGCTACCCGGATTCGAACCCGGGACCTTTGAATGAGAGGCCAACACCTTAACCTCTAGGCCACCAGAGCCCCCTACCGTGAGTTTGATTTCTATTTGGGGAAGACGTATTACTATACGAGGGGCATACCAAAAGTGTTTTTACCTGACCATGAAGCTGAAATTTGACAATGACAATGGCAATCTTTATTCATCTCGCAGGGAGAAATTTGTCTTGGTCGTTAACAATGGCAGTAGACGTTACAAAGTTAGACTTAAAGGTGCACTCACGCAAACGCACAACAAGACAGGACATTAGGCCAAGTAAATACATGTCTCATGGGCTGGGACAACCCGCTCCGTAAAACATTCTCTCTCTCTCTGTTTCATTTGTAGCACTGTGTGTTCAGCAACCTCACTGCAGTTGGTACGAATGAATTTCTATATCTGTTCTTGCTTTTTTGGAAATGTATCGTTTGGCACTAAGTTTAGTCGTTCTCTATACCGTCGCCTCCCACAGTTACACATTTTGCCATCAGTGGATGACCTTGAAATGACTTTACTTGTTTACTTGTGTGAAGGACCGACATCACTGCATAAAGGGCATTCCCTTCCCATAAGCGCTCCGTCCCCTGAAATGACTTTGGGAATAGAGAACCGTCTCTCTGTCAGGAAACCAGCCCCAGGAAACCAGCCATCTAATGCCCACGAATTTGCATTTGAATTTTGTACACCAGAATTTCATCACAGCATAGGATGGGCAATCAGTTTCATATGCGACATGCATATTCGCAAAAATATCCTGCTGTTGCTTGTCTTGCAAGAACAAAAACTTCATTAGTGCCCTGTGTTCAGTTTTCTTCATTTGTATTTTGAAACTGGAGAACAACATACCCTCATTCACTCACAGTGCGCTGGTGGTAAAACCAGTCATTGGAAATTCCCCAAAGTTTACATGCATTCTAGGAAGATAATTGTTGGCTTTCATCCCAAATTTTAGCCTTCTACCTTTATTCCTTCATGGTCAGGTAAACAACTTTTGGTATGCCCTTGGTACATATCTAGTATATTTCTGTTTGGAAGTGTCTCCCATAGTCCAAGTTGGAATTAATACTGGAAGAGATTCTTACCTTGAAATCGAACATGAATTTGATAATACTTTGTTTTAGTCAGAGTTTTACTGCTCTTGCAACACAATTAGCTCATAGAAGTGCTGAAGATTAGAGGTGTTACAAGCGAGTAACAAACACAAAAAAGAAGGTGGAAAGAAAAGGACGACATATGTTTGACAGAAATAAAGAAGGAGCAAACCACACCAGCGCACCTGCCAACCACCCACACCCAACTTTAAAAAATAATATAAAGATCCAAATGACTAACAAAATAAGAGGCTATGTGTAGTCAACCCTTCTTTACTGCTATGAAAGCTGAGCATTTACTTGGGTTGGTAAAAATAAAATAGAAGAAACGAAAATGTGGTTTCTTCGGAGACTGTTGAGAATTTTATGGAAGGAAAAGAAATCAAACGAGGATGCACTGCAGAAAGCCCACGGGGGCCGCTCCGCTCACTAATGAAAACAATTAGGAAGAGACTTAAGGCAGTTTCTGGGACACTTTAATCGATACAAAGACCTTGAACATCTAGCTGCCACTGGAAGAAAAACGGACAGCGAACGAGGCAGGGGCAGACCCGTGGCAACCTACTTGGACAACATGAACAGAAGGATGACGAGGAAAGACAAGGATGATGTGGGTTCTTTCTATTCTCTGG